CTAAGGACTCACCTGTGCCTGTTAGCTTTTTGATTAGCAAAAGGAAAATGAATTCCTCCCTCAACATTAAGCTGTCTAGAAACTCCCCTATACGTGAACTTAAGAACCCGATATAAACGGGCCCGAACAGAGTAAAATCGAGCAGTGTTGATTCATCAGAGACCCGGAGGGTGTGTTGTCACTAGCGACTACTTGGTTGCAAACTCTCAGCAAGTTTAAACGGAGTAGGCTGTTTGGGGCAGCATGCTGAGGATAGCTGCCTGTCAGCCCCACAGCGGGGCGGGAGGCAGGGATGAAAGATCGAGATGGACTAGAAAGGCCTGCAGCTGGGACAGACTCTCGGCCCGCCCTGTGAAAGGAGGAACCAATACTTTTGGAACATCCTTATTCTCCGTAAAACGGAACAGTACGCAGGATTACGTTTCTAAACATTCCTGTGACCATCTTCTATGAAAGTCTCTCTTTGGGTCATGCTTGGTCAAAACTGAGCCTTAATGAGTCAATCAAAAACAAACGCTGTGGTCAAGTCCTCAGAATCATTTTGCAAATCAAAAGGTACCGAAAATTTTATGGCCTCTCAGTTTCCATACAGCTGAAATTCTATTGTTCTCTGATCTTTTATAGTGTAAAAGCATCCCCTTTCTGTTATTTACTGATTGGCAAGAAGGAAGTAGGCTTTTATTGCTTGTTTATGTCAGTTCCCGTTTACTGTCTCACCACATTGGCTTATCGCCTCTACCTTTAACTTAACAGGAGCTGGAAAGGAAGGAATCCGAAAATTCTCTTCCCTAAGGCAGTCAGTTGTAGGAATGGATTTCACTGATTTTCCATGTTGGGCCTGAGGAGAGGCATTGTGTTCCAAAGGATGTGCCTATCTTCTTACATAGTCAGCGAAGAGAAGAGCGGAAGCGAGCTGCTGTGTCCAGGCTAGGTATAAAGGTGTTACCGCCCAAGGAGCAAGTGGACATGAGAAGCCTGAGGGACTGATAGCTTCTCCTCAGTTGGGTCTTTTCACTGGAGCTGTGTTATTTTTATCCACCACTTTGTGAAACTGCACAATTTCAAACACCCATAGTGAAGTCGGCATACTAAAAAGCATTTTAAAAACAAACATTAATATAAATAATTTTTTCAATTAACACTACTCTTCCCTTACATGAATATTGATAATTAGATAATCAGTTTATAGGATAAGAAAAGTTGTTTTCTTTGAGTTAATTCAACCTATTGCAACTTATTCAGAATCTAGGAAAGGGTGTTTTCAAATATGTATTCTAAATCTTCAAAATACTAAGTTGCAAATAAGGTAAGAAATAGTTACACAGCATGGAAGAACCAGCAGTTCTCTGAGGAAAATAAATGGCAGTTAAATATAATGTTCTTTATATCGGCTGTAGAAAGAAAGATATAGGCCTAGATTTATAATACCACCATTAGGAAACAGTAGGAGTATTTCAAAAGCACAACGACAACCCTCGCCATTAAAGAGACATCAAATAACATTCTGAGTTAAGATATAAGATTTACATGGATTTTAACAGGATTTAGATGACAATGAGCTACAGTAATTCAACTTAAACATTAATTCAGCAAACATTAAGATGTGCTGTTAGCATGTCACTGTGCCAGCTGCTAGTGAAAGAAATACTCCATTGGTGGGAAATACTTTCAATAGAAGAAAACGAGTGAGAATGAGAAGTTGAAAAGAGTCTTACTTGTATACAATAGAGAAGGAGAAAAATTCGATGAGTTAAGAAAGCATCTTAAATAAGAAAGAGATTTATATATTCAAAATTGTATTTTAATATATATGCATAATAACTATGACTATATCAATTCAATTAAGGGTTTGTAAAGTTGCTACCTGTGTTCTTAATTAAAGTGTATTCTGTACCTTATAGTAGTAACGTCTACCATGTGGGTATTGTATTTTGAAAATAGCAAAACACAAAGATCATTTTTAGAAAGAATGGAAATTTGATGAGTAGTAAATGTGATTTTTAAAAATAAATCGCATATGGGGCTGGCCCCGTGGCCGAGTGGTTAAGTTCGGACACTCCGCTTTGGGGGCCCAGGGTTTTGCTGGTTCGGATCCTGGGCACGGACATGGCACCGCTCGTCAGGTCATGCTGAGACGGTGTCCCACATGCTACAGCTAGAAGGACCCACAACTAAAATAGACAACCATGTACTGGGGGGATTTGGGGAGAGAAAGCAAAAAAAAGGGAAAAAAAAGATTGGCGACAGTTGTTAGCTCAGGTGCCAATCTTTAAAAAAATTAAATAAAATAAATGGCATAAGTTCGTATTTTAGTAATTAAAGATTTAATAATTGTGATGTTATGACTAAGCAGAATACACTAAACCCATTGTATGTGAATCATGGATTCAAGCTCCGGAAAACTGTCTTAGGTAGCCTATAAACTCTGGTTCTCAGTGTCTTTCATTGGTAAATGGGGCAATCCCTGTTCTACAGCAGGAGCTGAAGAACATACAGTTTCCCTTTTCCTTTCTCCTTAGTGGTAATTCGTTTATACTGAGTTAGGTTTTACTTTTCAACTACAGAGCAATTTGTCTCTTGATAATGCTTCTAGTATATTGCCCCTAAAACACGTTTGAAATTAGTTCCATTTACTTTTTCTGAGTACTAAAAACCTCAAGCACTTCCATGACTTGGAAGGACCCGAATCAAGGGGAGACCTGGCCTCTGACTCTCCAGTCAAAGAGTCTTTTGACCTAAGGTAACACGTCTGACCTCTCTATGCTTCCTTTTCCCCACTAGAGAGTATTGGGAGTACCCTGATGGCCTCTTCCAGAATTTTGTGGTAAAATCCTTGCCAACCCTTTTTCAGATTCTTGGACCCTGTGGTTAAAAATAGCTAGACATGCCTGCACTATGAAGATTTGTAGAAAAGTATAAAATTCTTAATTACACAATGACTTTGTAATTGGGTCTAAAATTGAATGCAGGGAATTCAAATGCAGTAACTTTATTGATAACACATCAAAGGTGTTTAAGTCTTTAATGTGCCTTCTTTATGATCTATGCATTAGTTCTTCATCCTTTTGCATGAGGAGAACTGAAGGATTCTCGCTGAACTTTCTAGTCCTCACCCCAGGGCTTAGGGTTTCTGCATTTTAAGCAAGTTTCCCATATTGGACTCATGCACACCCAAGTCAGAACACTGGGTTAAGGTGGCGTTTAAGAGCAACTGAAATGGTATTTGAGATGATTACTGTTGTGCAGTTAATTTTGATAATGCAGATTCAACCACTGAATAGAGTACAGTTTAATTCTTTATTTCTTGGTTGAAAATTTATTTCAGCAGTACATGACTTCTGTTTTCTAAACCATAAATGCCACGTGTCTAATTCACAAAATGTAGTGCTGAATCGAATCCATTCACCATTTTGTCTTCAAAGAGAAAAGGAAGAGTTGATGTGTTTAAAAAATTGGAACGGCCTGGCAACCGATGTTCTAAAGAAATAAAATATACTGCTGGGCCCAGAGCAAGGCTTTGCAGTAAATTTATGTGAGTTTATTGAATCTCTGAGCTTTAGTAATAATATTTTCTGTCTTCTGCAATCGTTTTTGGACTGATACTCATTATGTTTTATCCTGTCTGGGCTGTATTCCATGGATTTCTAAAGGACGTCAACTGAGTTTGTTTCTGGAAGATGTAGCATAAATTGAATAATGTGCCTTTGATTCTAATGTACCTGTTGGAACTTAACTAAAACAGTCATGAGCAAAATCTTATTTCTAAAAGCGTTTCTCTGGCACAAGAATATAGGACTGAAACCATTCTAAATAGGACCTATTGAAAGCTGTATTTTGTTAAAAGCGATGTTTTATAAAAGATATTTTGTTCTGCAGACGTAAAAGTAGGTTCTGTTTATGTAATAAAAGTGTATGAACATAAAGCATGTTTTTTTGACTAATAGGACCTTTTATTCATGATTAGATATAAGGTCTCTTTTGTATCAGATTTTAAATTTCTGGAAAATTCCAAAATACTGATGAAAGGGACCAAGGTGATGACTTGGCAAACTTTCCATTCCAGATTTCTGTCTTTGAGGAGAAAGAACATTGTTCATTTTTCATTATCCCCATAAAAAAATGGCCGTGTCGTGTTTAGAATGGTTTTAATCATTTAGTCAGTTAATTAACAAGAATCTATTTGCAGAATGAACTCCGACTTTCCAGTAAATTTGTTGATAACTGTCACAATCCCTCTTTATAATTCCAGCTAGCAAAGGCTTTAATTTTAGAATTCACACAGCAGAGGAGATTCTTATCACTTAGCTCATGTTGCTAGCCCTTTTGGATTTTTGCCTTTCAGAATTTTTTATTGTCCTGTTTTCGTTATTCCCTGGTGATGGTGATTTATTGTTTCTTTTGGCCGCTTATCAAATAATAGTTGGTAATCAGAAGATTTTACGTGATTTTTAGGGTAAATTTTTACTTTTTTCTGGTGTTTCTAGTTGAAGTCTCAGAGACGAAGGTAACTGAGTAGTTTTTATCTTGACTTCCATGCGCTTTAAGTTCTTTTGGGCCGTGATCAGGCACTCCGGCTCTCGTAATTAGCTTTCATTCTGCTCATTAATCAGTGTTTCTGTTCTAATATATGTTTCAGTTTCTTCTTTTTGTTTCAGAGATAGTTAAGAGTAAATGTACTCTCTGGGTCTTACATCTATTGCTTAAATTTTCTCTCTTCTTATGCAAACCTAAGTATTTTTGTCTCTCTCTTTTGTCTTTTTCCCCAAAATGTTTTGCAAATGTGTAATAGATTTTCCGATTCTCAAAATAATCCTCCTTTTAGGGTTTTTGCTTTCCACATTTTAGAAATTTGTTTATCTGAGTTCATTGCTCTTTTATATGCATCTATTATATTCTCTTCTACTTTTCAGTACTCTGCTTTTCAATACTTTTCAGTTTTAATATTTATGCATGAAATCCTTATGTTGTTTCTGACGTTTTCTAATTTAGTATCAATTTCAAATAATGAACAGTTTTTACCCCTCATCTTCTCTATGGATGCTTAATAAATACCGTAACTTAGGTGTACAATTTCATGGAGGAGAATAGTACTGTGGCTAATTTTTCAAAAGAGCAATAAAAAGAAAACATGTATTGTGGCTTTAGCAAACATTACTTTCTTGGGACAGTTTTAGCCTCCTAATTATGCTTTGCCTGAATTCATGCTAATATTAATTCACCTCCCCCTAAGCGTGTGCCCACTGATGACAGATATATACTGGGGTTAAAAATCTGGCATGTATAATTCATGCATAAATATTGGATTGCTAAGAAAACTGAGGCTCAATCAGATGCTGTTCGTTCTTTATCATCTCGTAACTTTCACTCTGACCTTTCATCCATGTAGTTAGCTCTGTAATAACACCAACTATATAAATAAAAATTCATTTCTAGTGCTGCGAACCATTTTTAAAATTCCATTTTAATATTTATTATGCTGAGATTTATGATCTGACATGGTTAGCTAGATATCCTTTTCCTAAACTATATTAAGTTTCATGCAAGTTGATTTTATTTTTACAAGCTTGATACACTCTCTCAGTTTCTAGTTTATCTTAATGTAGACAATAAAGTCAATCTCGGATTAAGTAATTAAAGGTACAAAAATAAGTTGATTCCATTGACTGGGCACTTTAATGCCTACTCTAAATCTTCTGCCACTTGTTTCCCTCTCACATTTGACTAATGCTCGAGAGAGAAACCCTGATTGGTATGATCTGGTCTCTTCACTGGTATTTTATAGATAGGGTTCTGTTTTATGGACAGTATAACTGGCTTCTCCCTTGAAAGTAAATAATTTTCTTTGTATTAAGGATATTCTTTTTAAATAACATATCAGCAAGGATTTTTCTTCTGAGTCTGTAATTTTTTAAACCAAATTTTCCAATGGGCAGTATCTGTCAATCCTTCAGGGACCTATATAAACACACAGGTGGAATCACCCATGCAAGCAGTTGTTTCTAGCTAACAGATGGTTTTCTCAGAACAATATGTTTTGCTCTTGGGCCAAAGTGAGTAAAATTTGGTACTAGACCCTAGAATTTAACCTCATATGTTGGCAGTAGACTAGAAAAGATCTTCAGATGAAGAGAGCAGAGTAAAATGGAGAAAGCCATACACTGGGAGTCAGATGGCCTGGATAGGATTTTGTGCTGGCGCTCATTAGTCATGAAACTTGAGGTGAGCCAAGGACCTTAGTTTCCTGATCCATGGAGCAGAAGGTGGGGTAGATTGTCTCAAAGTTTCCTTTCAGTTCTAGAATTATGAGGTTTTAGGTACTTCTTGGGTTATTTTAAGCTAAAGTTAAATGTTGACATGGTGTAAGCTTCTAATATTTTTCTTCTGATGAACTCAAGTAGCCTATTCTAAATTGTAATATTTATCTTAAATTGCTTAAACTCCTTCAATCTAACAAACTAGTATTTCTTATTCAGCAAACAGTTGCTGAATGTTTTCCATGTGCCAGGTACTGTACAAAGGCCTAGAGTAACAGAGATAAGTGAGACGTTTAATTACTGTCCACAAGTAATGACATTGCAATGTGCTAAGTGCCCCAAGAGAGGAATGAATGAAGTGCCGTTGTTGTTCAAAGGAGAGGTTGATTTATTCTGCTTTGGGGGGAGCCAGGACAGCTGAGAAGGAAGTGGCATTTGAAGGGGTCTTGGAAGATGTGTTTGCCAGGTGGAAGATGGTGCTGAGGAGGTAACTGAAGGGCCTTACGGGCGGACCGAGGGGCATGGGCAGAGTGAGGGAGATAGGAAGACGCACAGTGTTTGAGTAAACCTTCCAGATTGAGTTTCAGTTTCCAGGGCTAAATCATAGGGAACAAATGGTGGGGGAGGCAGGGCTTTGACTAGACAGAAGAATGGGCAAGAATGCTCTGGAAGTGGAGTGAGGAATTAGGAGGTCAAATTCTTGCTAACATTACCTCTGGGACTTCTTCACAAGTTGAATAATAATTCATAGTTTTCTTGAGCCTCATATATAGTGAAATTTACTTGCACTTCTACCCATAATTGTTGAGTAGAATGATTAGAACATTTGTCTCTGTTAATTGAGCATTTACCATATATTGTCTTATTCTCAATGTCCAAGTCTGATATCTCGTTAAAAACTTTTACCCACATCTTCTTTTCCAAAAATTTATCTCAGTATAACATTTATAGAACAAACATTTTTTAAAAATGTGTTTTGTTTGGCTATGGGACAAAGGATTAGGTTTTTGACAAGGAATCACAGATATGTTTTAATGATAGGCAGTGTATTCTTCATATATAGAATATCATATTTTACCTCAAAATCCCAACTCAAACCATTTTGGTCTATTGAAAGGATAAAATGGGATGATGGTTTGGAAGCTGTTTTTTGTGAACTTTAAGGTGTAGATTATTGTAAATAATTATAACTATCGGAAAGAGTACACTATGTATTACATTTTATGTCTGAGTCTCAGCCTTCTCCCTCCACGGTTATAGGGTAGGAACTGTATGTCAACTTGGAATCGGACTCTGTTTTGAGCCATTTAATTTAGACACTTATTATTTTAATGTAAGCGCTTTTACTTTGGCAGTCGACATACAGTTCTAATTAGTGCTTGGAACACAGCAGAGTAGGTTGATGAGGTACAAGACATGAAAAAATACGTTCTTAATGGCCTGCCCGAGGACTCTGGCAGCATCCAGGAAAGACGCTTTCAGCACAGTGCTCGATGCTTCTGAGAAATCATCTTCACTGGCACTTACACTCTTATACATTTAATCGCTTCGGTGTTTTGAAAATGTCAAAATATTGGCATTAGCAGCTTTGTCATCTATACCACACTCAAGAGAGAACAGTAATTTCTTAAGCTCATTCTGACGTAGCAACTGATGTTTAAGAAAACTAAACTTGTTTTCTCCATCTGCCCAGGATTCGCTTCCCAACTTTGCCAGTCAAGCTCTTACTCATCCTTTAAACCCTAGTTAGAATATCTCCCCCCACAGTCGTCCCTCCCTTTCCCCCGTGGCCATTCCCTTTTCTGTATATACGCATTGTCTGAATATCTACATCTACATGACCACACTGAGTTATAGTCACTTTTTAATGCATTAGTCTCCCCTGTTGACTCTCAATGTCATATTTGTAGAACTGTGTCCCCACATCTGAATTTTGGTTGCATCCAATTAAAATGCACTGCATGGTGGAATAAAAAGAACACTCACTTTATAGTTAAACTCTTATAGGTTAAATCTTAACTGCTATTTACTTGCTATGGGAACGTGACCAAGTCACTTAACTTCTTTGAGCGTCTTCAAATAAGAGTAGTAAAGCCTGCTCCGCAGGATTGTTGAAGATTACATAAGATCCATCCATCAGTTTACCAAATATGGAGAGATCCTGTTACACGTGAGCCACGGTACTTGGTACTAAGAATATAGTAGTCAATAAGGCATGATCCTGCCCTGAGAACTTTATAATTTAGTGGGAAAGACAGACAAGAAAACAGCCCATTGCAATATAATTCTTTCTTTCTTTTTTTTCTGGAGGTACTGAGATTGACATCTCTTATCAATAGGTACTCTTTGTTTTGTCAAGGAAGGATTCACCCTGAGCTAACATCTGTTGCCAATCTTCCTCTTTTTTCTTCTCCCCAAAGCCCCAGTGCATGGTTGTCTGTCCTAGCTGTAGGTCCTTCTAGTTCTTCTCTGCGATCCGCTGCCACAGCGTGGCAACCGACAGGCGAGTGGTGTGGTTCCATGACCGGGAAACAAACCGGGGACACTGAAGCAGTGAGAGTGCTGGACTTGAACCACTAGGCCGTCAGGGCTGGCTCTGCAATATAACTCTTGAAGGATGAATAGGAATTCTCTAGCACAAGGGTTCTAGGGGGCAGGGTGAAGGCAGCAGGGTTTAGGGTGAAAGGGGAAGCATGTGTGCTGCCAGAGAAAGATGACAAGTCAAGACATGGAGAGAGGCATAATATAGCAGTAGCTGTGGGGTTGAGGCTAGAGATGTAAATACCATGCGGGACCTCACAAGCCAGGCTCAGGGCAGGGGGAACCTGTGAGGAGTAGATGATCAGGTTTGCCTTTCAGAAAGATCTCCTTCCTTGGCAGGGTGTGGAGTGGTTTGAGATAGTCAAGGGAATCAGTACAACCAGTTCAGGGGCTGTTGCCTAGAAGAGGTGATGGCCCCTATAGCAGGAGTTACGGTGGGAATGAGGTAACGAGAACGTATTGAGAGAGATTTAGGAGGAAGATAAGGCAGGATGTGATCCAACGTGGTGGTGAAAAGAAGATAAGGAAAGGAGAGGAGTCAGGGAGAAGAAACAAGAGAAGTGGTTTGGAGTGTAGTGGGGAATAGAAAGTCCAGTTTGGAACCTGTGGGGTTTGAAGTACCCATGGGAAGTGTGGGACATCTCGAGTTCATCATCTTGAACTCATGCATATTTTGACCCAGCTGGTTTTTTGTTTTTGAATATAAACATTTCCCCTAGGATGATATCAACACTGATGAATTTTGTGGCAAAGATTTATTCCAGGGTGAACTCCATTAAGGCAATTTAATTCCTTGATCCATTTTCTATATTGCATATTTAAACTGTTTACAATTGTTTCCACTTTCATTTTTATTTTACCAACATTATCTCCATCAAGATAAAATCATTCTCCTGTTCATTTTAAAAGGAAGCTGGATTTTTCAACTTTTTTTTCTTCATCTTTGTCAAATTTTTAGAGATTATAGCTTTCTCCATGGCAAGTTTCCTTTTAGGTCCACTATTTTTAGTGTGTCAGATTTTACACATGTAGACTTTTATCAAATCTTTTTCATTTTTCATCAATTTGTGAGAAAAATTTTTATCATTTGCTGTCTCTGCTATTGTTAGCTGTAGTTTATTTTTTTTAACCAAGCCTAATATTTTCCTGAAACTTTTTGCAGTTTTTAAATTTACCAACAATATGTGATCTTCAAGTCAGCTTTTCATCTATAGCAAATTCTACTATGTATCATTTTGGGTCTTGTCACTTTCATTTTGGTCCTTAAGATCAGACTGCCTCTTGTTGACAGAATCAAAATGGCATACTTCAGCCTATGGATGGCCAAGGGGAGATGTCCGTGAAAGAGGGTATGTATATAGGTCTGGGGATTTGCAAAGAAATCTGAAGTCAAATACAGATTTGGGAGTTATTTGCATCTGGGTGTTGAGGCCAAGGGGATGGGTGACATCTCATGAGAGGGTGTATAGGGTGAGAAAAGAGTACCTAGGAAAACTAGGAGGAGCACCAACATGTGGGAAAGAAATGGCCCGAGGAGGAAGAGTCCATGAAGGACAGGCAGGAGGTAGGAAGAAATCCGCAGGAGGGCATTATCGTGGAAGTCAAGTCAAGGAGAGTGGTGGCTAACAATGACAGATGCGGCAGAGGGCATGTAGGTTACATACTGAAACGTGTTCTTTAGATGGAACAACAATAACACCATCACTCTCCTTGGTGAGAGCCATCACGTGAGTGGAGAAAAACTACCCAGCTGAGCGTACTCACAAGAGGAGAGAGAAGGAAGTGGAAAAAGTGCAGACAATTATACAGCTAACATTGACTGTAAGAAGGGGAGTTTGTTTGCCTGTTTGTTGACTGGTTTATTTATTTCCTTTTAATAGGAGAGAGACTTGAGCATGGTTAAGCACTGATAAGTTGGAGGGAGAGTTGGAATGGGATCCCTGAAGAGTGCATTAGGGCCCTAGTCCTTTCCAGGAGCCGGGAGCTGACATCAGTCTTGCTGCCTAAAGCTCCGTATCCAGTGAGTCAGCAGCAGCCATGTGTCCCACAAGCTGTAACCACGATAAATCAACAGATCCAACTGAGCTTCTACTCTGGTGTCCTAATTAATCTTCTGATTCTTTACTGGGCCTGGAGCTCTACCTAGAACTTTCACTATTTGCTTAACACTTAAAATCCTGAGTCAAGGGGATTTTATCTACTGTCCTTACACCCACAATACTGTCATCTGACCTGATCCTTGAATATTACTGCTTTTGAGAACGTCCTGCTGCCACCTATGGCCCACGACATCAGATATCCTCGCTCTCCAGTTGTGTGCTGGAGATTTACCACATCTACTTAGAGCCACCACTCAGAGGTTAGATAAAACTAAAACACAACTCTGCTATGACCCCGCCCATTCCCTGCTCCTTGCCTTTGTCCTGAGACTGCATACATTATAGCAAAACTTGGGTTGCCTCACAAACAATGGGGCAGTAGCCAACACACTCATCACCTATCAATCCATTAAGCTCCCACTTAACTATTCACCCGTCTCTTTGCTTCCTATTTTGTCAGGCACTTACTAGCACCAGGCACTGTAGCAAGCAATGGAGGTTAAAACATGAAGAGACACTGTCCCAGCCCTCTCGGAGCTCACGTTCCAGCAGGTGAGTTAGTTGTTGTTGCAATGCTGTGTGAAAGGTGGGCCAGGGAGAGAACCAGTTAGCCTAGGTGATCAGGGACAGGTGGAGAGCCTTAACTTTTTTTTTCTGTGGAATCTATAACAGTCTTATGAGGCAATGGACCATATGAAATGCATTCTTCTTATCCTAATGTAATCACTCCACCTGCCAGTTCACACAGCTCCAAAGGTTAACTTTGTTTTTTGAAGCTGGGTAGGTTCCAAAACTGCGATTACGTTAAAGAAAGCTTGTCTCCTTACGTAACAATCAAGATCAGCTACTGAATCTCCAGGACATTGAAGAAAGGGCATTCTCTTTGAATCCCTTCATATTTTTAGCTGGCATCCCCTTCCACCCTGTCCCTGTTCTGACCGTTCTTTTTGCTTTTTGCCTTCAGAACAAAGCGCAGGACAATTTTGTTGACTGCTCTTGAGTCAAGTGTGTTTGTCTGACCTCTGTGGCATTAAGTTCTGGGCACATGAATAAAATAAAGGTGGACTGGGCAGTCATGGTCTGCTTCTTTCCCTGACAAGTCCTCCAAGGCTCTGTCTTTGCTTGCTTTGACGTGCTGCTGCCTCTGGTCCCAGCACCCTGTGTAGTTAGAACACTGCGATGGGACAGGTCTGGGGACCCAGAGACGCCTGCTTTTGTTTCCCTGCACCAAACCGCTGTTCCCCCAGGAGTCCAAGCATGTCAGATTAGGCTGAGAAAGAATCAGGGGTATTGGATGTACATTTCATCGCAAAATTGAAGTGTGCAATAAACACACATTAAAATGATCTGTAAACCAATTTATTACCAACTTTAGACTCACAGAAGGGTAGGCCGTTGGAAAATGGAAAGGAATGGAAACCCTCATTCCTTCCCAGGGCTTTCTCTCCCTCCCTGATGTGTGTCACAGTTCCTGAATCTTGTGCCCTGCCAAAGAATGAGTGGGGGCCCATCTGGTCTTTGTTCATGGTCCCCACAGGTCCCTCTCTGCACAGCCCTTTACACTGAGTGCATCTCCCTATTTCTCTGTCTTGCTTGGAGCACAGAACTCGGGTGGGGCTGCCTATGGCGGGTCCCAGCCACATGGCCATTCCTGGTGTGAGTCTTTCCCTCTCTGCCGGGAATGATAGATGGATCCTCCCTTCTCGGGATCCCAGATGTCCTTTTCTCCCTCTTCCTGCTCATCCTTCCCAAGGGCAGGGGGTGGGGCAGTGAATGTTAGACTCACAGGCTTTTCTGTTCTTCCCTCCACGTCCGCTTACTGAGGCAAGGAACACGCGGGTAATTCCATGCTCCAATGGGGGCAGGGGAGCAGGGAAAGGAAGAAGGGACACACCTGGAGCAAAAAGATACACTTTAGTATCTTAAATTAGTATCCTGCCACACAAGCAAAAGTGCTAATAGAGAAGAGGGTCTCCGCTAAATATTTAGAACAAATATTTCTAACTTAAAAGAAAAGTCTTGGTGAATGACAGGCATCTCTGGCAAGGTGGAGGGAGGAGTTTTTGCAGTGGGTGGAGAAGGGGGTTTGGGGAATTGATGTCTGTGCTGCTCCTCCCTTCCTGCTCTCTTGTCACTTCCCCATGGCGGCTCTCTTCTTGAGCCATATTGTCTCCCTTTCTCTCTCCGTTGCCTGCCGTTGTCCTTTGTGTTCACCTTACATCATGCCTGGAAGGCCAGTTAGAGAGGGTTGACCAAGCACTAGTAGGTTCCCCTACTTTGGGAGTTTACTCAGAGGGCCATACACCACGGCTGGACTTCTCCCTGTGGGTTGCTTATGTGAAATATCTCCTTTAAATTTCTGCATGAAATATTTTCATTCCTTTTTTAGGTTTAGTTTTACTTTTTGAATATTTTTAACATTTATGTGATTCCAAAATCAAATTATGTAGTTTCCCCCAGCAGTGTTGCTTCCATCCTTGTGTCCTCCATGAGGTTTGCCTCAGCTGTCTAGAGGTAGCTAATTTTGTTTCAGGTTTATTCCTCCAATATTTCTTTCTGCAAATATAAGAAAATATATATATATTATATATATATATATGAAAGATGGCATATGACTTACCAGTTTGCACCTTGCTTTTTGCATGTAACAATCTTGGTATCCATATTGACACAGAGGGATCTTCCTCATTTTTCTTCAAGGCTGAATATAGAGAATTGTGGGAACATGTCACAGTTTATAAGTCCCCCATTGATAGACATTTGGATTGTGTGCAATCTTCTGCTGTGATAAATGATGACACAATGAATAGTCTTTTGCATCTGTCAGTGAATTTCTTTTTTCTTTTTCTTAGATTAGCCCTGAACTAGCATCCACTGCCAAGCCTCCTCTTTCTGCTGAGGAAGACTGGCCCTGAGCTAACATCTGTGCCCATCTTCCTCTATTTTGTATGTGGGACACCTGCCATAGCATGGCCTGATGAGCAGTGTGTAGCTCTACACCTGGGATCCGGAGCAGTGAACCCCAGGCTGCCAAAGCGGAGCGCGTGAACTTAACTGCTGTGCCACAGGGCTGCCTGTGTCAATGACTTTCTTTTAGTAAACACAACTAGGATTGAGGGCAGAAGGGCAGGGGAGAGAGGGAGAAATGGAGGGGGGAGAGAGAGAGAGATGCTTGATTTTTTAAAAGATGGTCCCTTGGACAAGAACATTTGTCAAAGAAGGCCTGGATGCTCTTGGGAATTAGCTGACATTCCAAAGTGTTCTCTTTTCCTGATAGCTTTTGCACCCCTTAAGACGACACTGAGAGCGACCCTAGTCCCTCCACAGCCTTTGAATGAATGGGAGGCCCTGATCTGTTTGGGTGATTGGATTTGTCTTGGCAGGTGGGGCTGGCTATCATCCACTTAAGCAGGACAGGTTCTCCAGGGTGCCAGGAAGCCTCCTCTTCAACATGTTCTCTTGATTTTTACTGACTCCTTTGACAGGGAGAAGCCTCTTGCTTACGAGCCACCCACTACGAGAGCACTTGCTGACGTTAATGTGTAAATGGCATCCGTACCAGGCACTTTCCTGAGAAAACACTTTGATAGAGCAGAGGACAGAGCAAGCATGACGATGCCCAGTTGTGGAAAACGGGAGAGGGTGTCTTCCGACCGAGGGAGGATGGGGAGGCTCAGAGTAAGACGTATTTCACCAGGAAGTCTCCCAATCTGTGAATTGAGCATGCCTCACACGGAGATGGTATTTCCTCCCTGACGCTGCTGCTCCCTGCCTTACTAATTCTAATCCCCTCCCCTGCTTCGCTGAAACTGGAAACCTCAGTTATTTGTGCTTATCTCTGTGCCTCGAATGTCATCTGTTTTGTTGCCTCTTCTCTGGTCCAGCTCCTATTGCCCTAGGACAGACCCTCAGCATTTTTCCCCTGGGCCATTTCAGAAGAGAGGAGCAGAAAAGCCTGCAGACTCTGGAGCCAGACTTCCACATTTAATTCATTGCTCTGTATTTACTGGCTTTGACTCCCTGGGCAACTCACTTAACCCCCTGTGCCTCGGTTTCCTCCTGCCATTTGAGATGCACAACAGTATTTGTTACATTCAGTCTAGTGGGATTAAGTGAAATAAAATGTGGGAAATGCTTGGAACGGTGCCTGGCATGTAATAAGTACACAATAAGCACTAGCGATCATGTCCAATGTCTCCTAACTGGTTTCACTGCCTTCTCGTCTCCACCCCTAACCCCCTCTCTTTTTCCCACATAGTAGGCAGATTGGTTTATGATACGTATGAACAAAGCACTTCCTGCTGGAACAAGTTCCATGATGCTCTGGACTTCTCAAGCTGGCTTCAGGCTATCTTTCTGAAGCCATCTCCTCTCCTGCCGCAGCTCCATAGGATGCTGCACTTACCTAGTCCTGCCACTGCCATCTGCACTCACATCTCTGTGCCTTTGGGGCTCTCTACCTAGGATTTCTTTCTTTCTCCTTTTCTCCTTGGTAATAATCCACTCTTCATCCTTCCAGACACAGATCAGTTGTCACATCCTCAGTGGAAACTTTGCTGACTCTCCCCTCCTCATCACCAAGTAATGATGATGGTTTCCTTCCCGGCAGTCCCATGGCAATTTGTATATCCCTCCAACTTAGCCCGCCTGCCATAGCAGTGAGACTATGTATGCACTCCACGTCACCCATGCCCATAGAGGGGGAAGCCATGCCTTCCTGCCCATCTCGGCTCCCACAGGATTTCCCTGTGACCAAATCCTATTCTACCTTTCCTCATGGCATCACAGATTCTCTTTGTAGCACTTTTCACAGTCCCAAAAGGAATTGAGGAAGTGTTCTTCAGTTTATGGATAAAAGTGGTTGAGAAAGAGAATGAGAGGAATGCATTTGGGAAGGACGAATTTATGAGTTGAATGATCTGGTTCCTGTGCTTTGTGTCTGCTTCAAGAGCTTGCAGAAACTTTTTAATACAAAGTGTCAGTCTCTGGGAGGTCCCTCCACCAAGGATTTGCTGTCCTCTTCTTGCTGTGTTCACTTCCTTCCCTGAGACGCAGTTAAGAGAGGACAGAATGAAAGCTTCTGAAACCATAAAAATAGATATGCTATTGTCCTATTGTTCTGTATGGAGAAGAGGGCCACCTACCCTGCAGTTGTTCACGCCGATGCTCCTTGTTTTAGCAATGAAGCACTGAACTCAGACCCAAATCATTGCTGTTTGATGTTGGGTTAGCATTCTCCTTCAGGAAAAAGTCTACTGAACCCAACAGTGGTGGGTCGGGTTCCCCAGACACAGAGCAGGAGACAGGGATTGTTGTGAAAGTGAGGTGTTAAAAGAGAGCCCTCAGGAGAAAGGGGAGTGAGAGAGGAAGAGTAGGGAAGGAGAAGAAAGCCCAGCGTGGATGTGGCATTGGCAGGGACAGCCCTGGCCCTGACCCCACAGGGAGCTTGGGAGCATGAATTGCACCATAGAGCTGGACCCCCTTGAAGCAAGGGGTATGGTTTTTTAAACCCTCGTGTCAGTCACTCATGGTCCCCTGTCTTCTCTGAAGGG